ATTAAGATCTTTTCTATTACAGTTTGTACTCTATTTACTGTTTACTTCACTTGCAAAATAGCGAAAGACACTTTCAGAATTGTGCTTTACGTTACAACTTTTTCCATGCAGCTTTGCGCTGTTGCTCGTTTTGTTTTAAACCAGTGATTTGTCTGTAGCTCAGATGTACAGTGTTGTATGCTGCTGAAAGACAGTGTCTTTGTACTGTGGATTAATAACTTTAAATGCAGTTTAAAGACCAGTGTGGACCTGGTTTTAGCTACTGAACACTTAAAACTGTAAGTAAAGTCTTAAAAGTGACGTCATCACAGTGACCACTTTTATACGGACTATCGCTCTGTCCCTTCGGTGTCCGTATTAGAGAGGTTCAACGGTACGATAAATATGGCTCGAAAGTTGCGAAGACAATTATCAAGGAAGATGATTATGAACGTGATGACCATTTACGTGCCGGCTTGATATGACCATCTGCAACCGCATTCGAACAAAACGTTAAAAACACTCAGTCATTTCTTTGATCATCTTAAAACCTCTTTAATACAAACAACCATATATATATATATACTTTCTTTTTATACTCATCGTTTTGCCATCTCCGCCTGCAAATAGAAAGAGTTAGACGAGGCCGGCGGATTTCCATGGCCCATTACGCATGGTTTCAGCCATACGAATAAGGCACCGTTTTAGAACCATAATAAGGTGCATGCGAAGGAAAATAAAACGTAAAAACGGCACGTTTTTCAGACCACTTCGAAAAGCGGAAGCCTTTCCCGTTGGTTTTTCACGTGATATCAGAAAAATGGTTGCTCCTGTGCGGGTACGCCACTTTCCAACGCCTAGCCTGCGAACGACAGACGTTTCTCCTCGCTCATCGACCGCTGAGTTCGCTGAAGTTTGCGAAACGTCTCTCAGCGGCGATGAGCTAGGAGAAACGTCTGCCGTTCGCAGGCTATCCAACACCAGTTATACTATATATATATTTCAGGAGAAGCACTATTAAATTGCCACAACTGATCGATTTCACAATGTACGAGAAATTCATCGAGAAAACATGTTTAATAGTATTACCTTTTTAAATGCGCAACTTTGTTTTCGGTGTCTTGAATCACTTATCTTTGTGGAACCCATTTCAAGTCCAAGAATTGTGTGAAGACGAGTCAATCCTTCAATAGATTCTTCATATTTTCCCATGTGTTTGGAAAGTGCTGCTGCAGATATCGCCATGGCCTCTGACAACATGATGTCTTCTGGTTCCAGTTTGCCTTTGAACTGTCCTTTTCCATAGTCGTCAAAACGCTGTATACCCGAGGGTGACATAGTTAACAGGGTATAGTTCGTTTTGTCTTTCTCGTTGTTCTTCCAACGGTTCACAACAATGTTGGATATATACTCGGGCTTCATGTCTTTCAGATCTGCTAAGGTCAGGGGCCTCGTCTCATTTTTCGAGTTGCATAAGCAGCATAACCATTGAGGACAAATGCCTAAACATCCGTATAGTCTGGTACTGTTTTCGTGATAAAACGCTTTTTGTAACCTCCACCTGTAAAGTGAAAATCGGATCCACTATTAAAGCCAATGTGAATATCACGGCAGTCATATCAAACTTCAAATTTAACCTTTCATTCTCGGATGGTTGTACGTACCACTATGCGTTAAGCTTATATTGTGTGTTATTTGTATGATTTGTAATTTGTTTGGAAAAACAAATTGTTTGTATTGAATAAAACGATGGGAGCTCCACTTTTAGCCTTGCCTAAATTTATAGACAGTGGAAGCTTCCCTTTCGCAAATGGAGCTCGACGCTTATGGAAATGGTTTTTGAAAGCGGAATGTCAAAACAAGGTCAGTTTGTTAAGACAGATGTCTGAAGCAGCGAGTTCTCCGGCTGGTTTACAAGTGTGTCTGTGTGCCCATTTTTTTATTTGCAGATTCTTTATTTACATAATTTTTAAAAAGATTTTTATTGAACATTGCTATAGATGATTTTAACCTCAAGAAGATCGAAATTGATCAAAGAGGTACATTGCAATTTATCTTGACGGGCTCGCATAAAGAAGGCATTCTTGTAATATTTCCACTAGTCGTGCGAACAACTATTCTTACCTATTGTAGACAAACACAAGCTTCTCTTTTAAAGTTGTCGTGAAGGGAGAAATCACCAAGGCAACTCCAGAGGCACACAGAAGCCAATGAAAATGACGATCTTCGTGTTTGATAAAGAATAATGGCAAGTCAACTGTAAACACCTTCCAATATATGACAAAAGAATACACATAGACTATCAGGACATAAGAGGTCTTTCTCCGCAGGAAAGGAATTGTAACCCATACAATCACTGCAAGGATTCCAACCATAACCTGTGTCCAGACTGGGATCTTCACAAAAAAGTCGTATATTGTAAAAGGGATAAACGTGAATATCAACACACTTCCAGTAGAGTATTCAAACAGAAGCAGAACGCTTCTTAAACAAGGGTGTTTAAAGAAGAACTTTTTGGCTGATGAGTTGACAGCATAAAGGACAACAAAACAAACAAACAGCACAGAAAAAAGAATAGCGATATCACGTTTGGGACTTCTTTTTAGACAACGATCGATGACGTCTTTGCCAGGCACTGCAGACTCATTCATTTCTCTCTGTCTCTCAAAAGCGGCATCGCAGTCAGCTGCCTTTCGCATTAAATTTCCAATCCCGAAGAGATCAATCATAACCGCTACTGGAAATGCATACGTTCCCCACTGAATTACTGGATGGACGAGTAGTACTATAGTAATGAGGCTCACGAAGAAAAATGTGTCAAAGACGCCTTTCCAAAAGCCAGTCCAGTCACAAATGTATCCTGATCTGTCTTTCATATGGTTAAAAAACTCCTCGTGCCAGTCTGTTTCGCCCTCGCCTTCTCTCGTTTTATCTTTCTTTTTTTCGCGATATTTCCAGTCCAGGTAAGCAGTGCCTGTGTAGCCACCCCCTGACACGCAACTCAAATAATCCACTTCAACTCTGCTCTTAAGTAGACTGCGCAGGACTCCGGAGCAAAAGGCCGCTGACCTGATGCCACCACCAGAAAATGCCAAACCAGTGCTGTCTCGTGGCATTTTAATACCTCAATAGAATTCTGAAAATGGATGACACAGATCGTTTTTTCTAGGGCCATCGTAGTTCAATCAAGAATAAAACACAGACAGAGGTGATAAGCATTGTGAATTATACTTATTAGCGGCTACCGTATATATTTACTGTAAAGAAATTTCTTAATCTTATTGCCAGATCAATTGTCAATTTAGTATAAATAATTTTGTCATAATCTGGAGTGTAAGGGTCACGTTTGATTTCTTTTGAAAATGTATGTTTACAAACGGCATAGGAAAAGACAAGTTTACATAAAAAAGCAAAATTTCACCCATATTTGTGAGACAGATCGTCGACAGCTGCACATTAATCTTTTACATGCAGATTACCATCTGCATGTGGTAATACTATCGTATTAGTATTACCATATTACCATTTAGTAAATGACAGGCGTCTGATATCTAGCCTTCTCTTAGAACACGTCATCTTATTCTTCGTGTCATGTAAGGGAATAAAAGACATTCTTGGATTCTAGATTCCGCTCCACGGATTTACATGATTCCAGTCTTTAACAGTGGAACTTATTGAATTCGGGATTCTAATTGTTTGCGAGATTCCGGATTCCTTGAGCTGTATTTCGTTTCCCAAAGCCCAGGATTCCGGATTCCACAAGCAAGATTTTCCCAGATATTCCGGATTCCACAAGTAAAGGGTTTCCGCATTCCGGAATCCCTAACACGGGACTTCGGGACGATTATGAATGCTTGCCACTACAACAGCAGGTTAAAAATTTGATTTTCCTTTTCAGTTAATTTTAAAAATATCCCCTAACACAGTTTAAGTAAGATTTACCATTACATTTGCGACTCATGAAAGGGATGAGATGTAAGTATGGTCAGAGAAAAAGAGGTGTGGGAACTGAGAGAAATAGAAAAAGATATAGGAAACTGTGCTTTCAAATTCTCTGCACAAGGTAAATTGTATCCTTTGCATTGCCTTTCTTTAACATCCTTAAAATAAGAAGCGAACTTTTTTTCTGATATCTAATTCATTTCTCAAACACGCGTTTTCATATCGGTCACTAGTGTCGTTACTTATGTATAAAAAACGGAAAGAAAAACAGAGAAATAATGCTAGGAACAAACTTTTTCATTAATGGTCGATTTCGTCCAAATATACATACAAAATAAAAGAGATGTAATAAGATGCATTTGTTTAATGCAGTAGCTTTCTCTCATGCGTATTAAAATGAAAGAGTTGTATCGGCCGCTCGCTCGATTTACGTGAGCTGTAGTGCTATATTGGTGAAGTATAAGTGGAATCTTTTACATTTACGCCTTATCAACATAAGCTTGTCAATTTCTAGAAGAGTTACAACAAATATCAATTCTGAAAATCGATAGACCCTGGCTGAATCAATTCTTCTCAGATAAACAAATACTGACCTTACGTCAACCTTACGTCCTTGTATTTCAGTACACTGAAGGCGGCAAATCTTCACACCTCGACAATTTACAGGGCCATGTTTTTTGTATGCAGACACTATCTGCTTTGATCACAGACAAAACGCAGATGTTCTTGGAAGATGACTTCTCGGAAAGTCTGTTTCATCCTTGGTACATCCCATTGGTCAGCTATTTTCTTGTGCATTACCTTATTTGGTTATTGTTATCATTTTTTATTCACTATTAAACTATTATGGTTGTAGTATGGCATAACACAGTCGACAAAAAATTAATTAACTTAAGTGTACAATGTGATTCAAATTTTATTCTGGTTTTGTTTTCTTTTTCTTTTTCTTCCTTTCTATTTATTTTCCTTTTGTTTTCTCTGTTTTTGGATATGCACGACGTTTGAAACAAAGAAAATAATTTAAAAATCACTGATATTTATATTTGCACCCATATGCACAAGCCCAAAACACTCAAGTGTATAATGTGGTTCAAATTTTATTCTGGGTTTTGTTTTCTTTTTCTTCCTTTCTTTTTTTTTCCTTTTGTTTTCTCTGGTTTTAGATATGCATGACGTTTGATACAAAGAAAAAAATTATAAAAAAACCACTGATATTTATCTAAAGGGGACACACGATTTTGCGATTTTTGGATGTGGGATTATAGAGTTGAAGTATAAGTTAATGATGCTTTAATTTTTACCACAGTACAAAGGTATACTAAAACTACTAAGAGGAATTATCGTCATAAGAATTATAATATATAAGAGTACTATAGATAAAAGAAAAGGATATAAAAACTGCTCTTCAAAACTAAAAAATAACACAATTAAAAATAGAATATCTAATACAAAACTGTACTGATTGTGTACGAAAAAAAGAAACTAGAGGGACTAATTAAATAATTAAGAAAAAAATATAACCCAAATAGTAAGAAATAGTAACTAAGAAATAAAAACTGACTAATTGCAAAGATTACTAACTGGTCGAGTTTTAAAAGAGTTCAAACTGGAAGCTGACATAACAGAATTAGGTAAAGAGTTCCAGTCATTGATGTAACGGTTAAAAATGAAAATTTAAAACAGTTTGTCCTTACTCAGGGGCACCCAAAGAGGATATAGTTCAAAACCACTTAACATAGCATTGTTGAACGTATTTTAGTATTCAAACGGTAAATATAGGCATATTTTTATCCCCTAAAAACTTTTCATCTGTTCGGATTTCCTAGCTGAAAGTCTAGTGATCCGAAAATTATAGGGATAAAAACATACCTTCTCGAACATTTTTGCCAGGAAAAGGCTCTCGAAAATTCTAGGTGGCCTTTTTTAGGGTCAAAATTGGTTAAAATGGGTAATTATTCCATTTTGTAGATGTTCGAAAATCCTAGGAGAGGCAGGCAAGCAAGAAATTTTACAACAAATGCTTCGAAAATTCTAGATCTCAAATCGTCTTCCGAACAGATATTTTCCCGAAAATTGCCGTTGGGTGCCCCTGCTTACTGCTCTAGGCCTGATTTTAATTTCATGGTTACTTCTAGTTTCTGTCGGGCCAGTCAGGTTCACATATCTGGTATAGTCCACATCAGCTAGAATAGCAATGAATTATCTTGTAAAGTTGAACCAAGCAAAGATATTTCCTTCTGGGCTCCAATGTTGACCAGTTTAGTTCCGTGAGCCTTTCAGAGAAAGATTTATCAGATCCACATATCAATCAGAGTAGCATGACGACGCCGGGATGGATACAGAAACCGTTTACAAGCCGTTTTGTTATGACTGTTATGTGTTTTACCAAATATGGGTTTCACACTAGGCAGGCCTATCCAAGAATAGGAAGAACTAAAACAATCCGTTTTTATTGTAACAGGATCTTTGCTCGGACCCAAAATTCTCCTTATGAGACCCAACCTCCGATTGGCCTGCCCACGATGTAGTGTACCACCTCATGGAAGATTCAATCTTATTAATGCTCAAGCTAAGTGCTTATGCCTATCAATCGCCGCAAGCAAATTTTTAGCATTTCAATAGCGGAGTGCCATTGGTTAGAAAATTTGGTTTTTGGTTTTTAGAAAATCGTCCGCGCGTCACGAGCCTATGACCCTGTTGACGTGGATAATAGAGAAAGAGCTAGAGCGAGAGATAAAAAAACAAAGGAGACCAATTTCGTTGGAAGAAATACAAAAAAATTGATAGCGGCGATGAGAAAATGATAAATGCTTGTAGCGGCCACCAAGGGGAAAATTAGTGGGAGCGAAAAGAAGAAAAAAGGGAACTGGAGCACATACATGTACAACATTTTCTCCATAAAACTTGTAACAAAGGGTTGTAACTAGGAAGTTTCAGTCTCGTTGCAGTCGTGCAAAGCAACGGCAAAGAAATGAACCAAAAAAGTGTGCTGCAAGTTGTTGATACCTACTCTCGTTGTCGTCGCCACTTAGCATTACACGATTTTATGATTATTTTGTTTGAGTAAACTATAGATATTAACGAAAGCTTGCCTCGGAATTTGCATTTTTGATTAGCAGAAGACACACTCGAGCAGCACGAGGGAATAACTGGATTTAACTGATTGGTGGAAGAGAAAAAAATGAATATTCAATTTTTTTCGCATTTTTTTCGTACGTTTGCCGTGAGCAAAAAACATGGCGAACAACTTTAAGTTTAAACACAATTTTTTCAGTTTTCTTGAGGCAAATATTTGTTCACTTGACCCTGGTTAGAAATGAAAAGAAATTGTTTATGACCTCTCAGACTGGTGGAGGGCCAAGACGCGAAACATTGCTTCAGGAATTCCGTAGAACAGCGAGACGATCAGATCATGAACCACGAGGTATGGTACAGAAACTTTGAACATTCCTTCCACTGCTAAATTTAAAAGCTTTTCCTGATTGCAGTAGTTACTTAAGTTCAAATTTCAAGTTTGTTTATTAACTATTCCAGCCATTCGCACACTTTTAAAAATGTTAATTTGCACACATGCAGCCGAGACTTGTTATGAAGCTGGTGGACAGGCTGATGTTGGTTAACACCGGTCACAAGTCCAAAGTTTGATTCCAGGCATCAACATAAATCATCTATAAGACAACTTTTTTCAGTTTTTTTAGAACTACCAGTTTTCCGACGAGCAATCCAATCTCTTTCGTATTTCCTCCGAGGGATTTACCAGCTTATGTGGTTATCAGGCTCAAATACTTTGTTCTTCACAAAGTTTAGCAGGGAAAATTTTTAAGATGAAATTTGAAGAGCGTGAGTACTAAACAGACCACGACCAGATACCGCCATTATAGAGCAAGGTGTCTCTTGAGTCGCTGTCCTTTCTTGCTTAGCCTTGCTTAAGTTTTTTCTTACTGACCTTTTCTTTCTTGATTTAATTGTATTCAGGCCCGTAGGGTGGGGGGGTTCGAGGGGTTCGAACGAACCCCCTAAAATTTTTGAAGTCGGCATTTTTGGGGAGTTGAAAAGATAAAAAAATCACTGAATTGATTTTTACACAAAACAATCAAAAG